GTCCATGGGGCGGTGTCCCTGCGGCAAGCTCTAAGGAAGGGCCCTCCCTGCCTGTCCTAGCCGAATCCTAACACTAGGTTAGCGTTCAAGAAAAAATTTGAAAACGTTTCTTAATGTCATCTAAAAATGTTCATTATACTTCAACATTAAAAAATAACATTTTTTTAGAGAAAGGGATGAGTGGCGTTCTTTTCATTTTTACGGAGAAGGTGGCTGGGTTCTCTGTAGTGACCTATTTGGGCCCACCGTGAAGAATGGGGACAAAAGGTTTGTCAGGGAGACAAGAGCGAGGGGGTCAGTGAGGAGGCATCGGTGGGCAGGTCACGGCCGCGGGCAGTTGGGGCTCAGTCACCCGGGACCCTCCGGAAGGCACAGACCGGTCACGGTCCCTGGCTGGCTGTCCGTGTCCGGGGGTCGGAGGGCCTGGGCTCTGCCCTCTGGTGGAGCGAGGTGGGTGCTGCGCTGTGTGCACACGTCTGCATTTTCTGACGAGGTGAACTGGGTTCTGTTCCTATGTTGAAGTCCTAGCCCCCGGGACCCCAGGAGGTGACCTTTAGAAGCCGTCACCGAAGGAGTACTTTTCCAAGGTAAGGTGAGGCCATAAGGCATAGAGTGGTTCCAATCCAGTATGACAATAGGAAGGGGACATGTGGGCCCAGACAGGGGGAAGCCCCGAGAAGCTGGGGGACCTGGGACAGGTTCTCCCCCAGCAGGAGCTTGTGACCCCTTGTCTCCGACAGACGCGGGGGGCTGGGATCTCCACATACCTTTGTGGGAACCACCGTTCAATCCCCAACAGTGGCCAGTGTGGGTCCACGTCTGCGGGGGTTTCCTGGGACTGCCACGTTCAAGTATCGCAGATTGTGTGGCCCGAAACAATTCATCCTCCTAAATTCTGGAGCTCAGAGCCTGAAATCAAGGTGTTGCTGCGTCCATGCTCCGTCTTAGGGCTCCAGGGGAGGGTCCTTCCTGCCTCTCCCAGCTCCTGGGGCTCCAGGAGTCCCTCGGTCTGTGGCTGACCCCTCCAGTGTCTGCTCTTCGTTCTCTTCCATTTTTTAAAAAAGGATTTTATCTGACGGACAGAGACCACAAGTAGGCAGAGAGGCAGGGGTGGGCTGGGGAGGGGAAGTAGGCTCCCCACCCCCAACCCCAACAGAGAGCCCAGCAGGCTGATCCCAGGACGCTGGGATCACCACCCAAGCCGAAGGCAGAGTTTTAACCCACTGAGCCACCCAGGCGCCTCTCTCTTCCTTTTTTTTTTTTTTTTAAGATTTTATTTATTTATTGGACAGACAGAGATCACAAGTAGGCAGAGAGGTAGGCAGAGAGAGATGGAGAAGCAGGCTCCCTGCTGAGCAGAGAGCCCGATGGGGGACTTGATCCCAGGACCCTGGGATCATGACCTGAGCCGAAGGCAGAGGCTTTAACCCACTGAGCCACCCAGGCGCCCCTCTCTCTTCCATTTTTTTTTTTTAAGATTTTTATTTATTTATTTGACACACAGAGATCACAAGTAGGCAGAGAGGCAGGCAGAGAGAGAGGGGGAGGCAGGCCCCCCGCTGAGCAGAGAGCCCGATGTGGGGCTTGATCCCAGGACCCTGAGACCATGACCTGAGCTGAAGGCAGAGGCTTAAGCCATTGAGCCACCCAGGCGCCCCCTCTCTTCCATTTTTAAAAAACATATTTAGAGAATGTATGAGTGGGGAAGGGGTGGACGGTGAGCATCTCTGGCACACTCTGTGCTGAGCGCGGAGCCCCATGCTGGGCTCGATCCCACGACTCCCGACTCCGAGATCATGACCTGAGCCCCCTCTGAGTCACATGCTTCACCGAGCGAGCCACCCAGGTGCCCCATGTGTCGTCGTCTTATAAGGACACCAGCCATTGACATAGAGCCCACCCTCATGCAGCGTGACCTCCTCTGAATTCATCACCACTGCAAAAACCCTATTTCCAAATAGGGTTCCATCTTGAGGTTCCAGGTGGATGTGAATTTTGGGGTGACACCGCTCAATTCTCTACCTCACCCAGGCCTTGGCCCCTAGGAGTGCAGGAGCTCCTCAGCTGGGATCTTTGGTGGCCGTGGCACATTGCACGTCCCCTGCTCCAGTTTGCGCTGGGAGGGTCCCGGGAGGCCTGGGCACCCTGGCGCGTGCTCACCCCAGCGTGTCTCAGCACTGCGAGAGGCAGACACACACGGGCAGGAGACCACCGTCTGGGTCCCATGGACACAGGCAGGCAGGGACCCCTCCTGCTCGGGAACCCTAGAGGAGCAGCGGATCAGCTTGCTCTGGGCCAATCGGAAGCGGCTTGGGGCCACATGGCACAGCCCTGGTGGCTGGGGTCTGTTCTCAGAGGACGGGGGCCCGCTGGGTGGGGGGGTCCCACCCAGGAGCTTCTGTTGGGTGTCTGCTCACGGGCTGCCCCTCACACGTCTTCTGGCCTTGGGATCCCCCCGGAGCTCACAGCATCCCGAGAGAGCGCTTTGACTCGCCCCAGTTGGGGTTGCAGAACTCCCTGCGCTGGGACCGCAAACAAGTCACCTCCCCTCTGTAAACCTATGTCCTCTTCTGGAAAATGCGAATGTGCCCCAAGCGGGGGCAGGGCCTGGCTGCAGGGAGCCCAACTCAGTTCCACAAAAGTGAACCGGGCATCCGCTTGCATCTGTGGGCTGGCTTTGGACCCCAGGAGGCAGCTCCACTCCTGTCCTGGGGTCTCTCAGGGAGCCAGGCCTGCCTCCTCCAGGGGTCAGGGAACACGAGGGGTTGCTGCCCACCAGTCTCCTCCCTGAAATCCGAAGCTGGGATTTCATCCGGCTTTCTCTGGGGGGGGATGGGCAACGGGAGCGACAGGCTCAACCTCTCCAGGAGGTTCTTACTGCCCTGAGAGCTCCGACGGGGCCCCTTCCCACACCAGCTTCCCCCGATGGTGTCCCCAGGATCAAAGCTACAAGGAGGCAGGCACCTGCTGGCCACCTTCAAAGTGGGTTAGAAAAGAGGAAGCACAAAAGGCCTTTTGCTTTTTCAAAGTCTCCAAGTGGTGAGAGAGACGTTCAGCTGACGGTCCTTTATTCACGAGCTTGTGATCCCACGATGCACCGGGGGGCTATGGAGCGTCCTACCCTGCAGACGTGGAGGGCCAGAGAGGGCTGGCCTCTCACACAGGGACTCACACAGCCTTTTCCTGGCACCGCCCCAGCCTCGGCCTCACTCTCCGTCTTCTTTTAGCCTGGGATGCCGCTTCCCACAGGGGCAAGAATGTGGCTCCCCATCAAGCCCAGATGCCGATAGAGGAGACGCCCCCCCGGGGGCCGAGCACCTGGGAGCGGATTTCCCCTGAGGAGAGAGAGAGGACAGTGGGGCCAGGAGGTCTGATGAGAGAAAACCCCAATTCTCCAGAATCTAGGAGGAGCGTGAGGGTGGTCGGTGCCTTCTCCCACTCACCCACTTGCCGCACACAGTGACCAGACACAGACTGAGTGCCCACTGGGGAGACAGCAGTGACCACGCACAGACCGAGTGCCCACTCGCCGCACACAGTGACCAGACACAGAACGAGTGCCCACTGGGCAGACCGCAGCGAGCGAAGCAGGTGTGGTTCCTGGCCTGGCGCAGCTGGAGGACAAGGCGGTTGTTCCCCCTACCCCCTCCCTCCGCAGAGCGGCTGTCCAGAGCCCTGTTTTGGAGAAGGCAGGCTGCAGGCTCAGGCCGGGCAGGGTCAGACGCCACCAGCAAGGACAGCACGGCGATGTGTGGCCTGGGCTTCCTGGAGGCGGGGACGTTGCCGTGGGACAGAAGGATGGGACGCAGGGTTGCAAGAGCCCTGGCTCGGGGAGTCCCAGACGGTACAGGCTGGGCCTCGCGCCGCCGACGAAATCCAAGGGCAGAGAAAGGGGCGGCGGTAAAGCACAGTTTCAGGGGACACTGGGCCGACAGCGGACGGGCGCTCAGCACGGTCTCTCCAGCGGGGACAGCACTGCCCGGCGTCTCGACGGCCACTGGGGAGGACGGCCCGCGGGTCGTGCAGGGTGCAGGGAGGTCTACGGATGGGCTCCGCAGGGTCTCTGGCCTGAGCTGGCGAGGACTGCTGCGGTTAACGGCGGCGCACTTGCTCGGTCACCACGGCCAGCTCCGCGGGCCCCGCGAGGCCAGCCGCCGCCCCTGCCCCAGCCCTGCAGCGCCGGTCCGCGGTCGACCCCTTCCTCGGCCTCCCGCCTGGCCACCGCAGCCGGACAACAGCCCGAGCTCCGATGCCGTCGTCCTCCCGCAGGCCTGAGCTCTGGGTCACTGTGCCCTGCGCGGCCCCCGTAGCCTCCCGAACCCGCCGTGCCCGGTGTTCGCAGCCCTGAGCGGCCGCACGCCGGCAGACTCTCCGGAGGTCAGCCCTCCACCCTGCAGGGGAGCCTGGGTGGGGGGCGGGGGGCGGCCCAAGCCCCGCCCCCCGGCCCGCCTGCCCGCCTCTCCAAGGGCTCCCGCCAGCCCTGCAAGCCCCGCCCCTCCGCGCCGCGCCCCGCCGCCGCCACCACCCGAAGCCCCGCCCCGCGCCACCGCCCGGCCGTGACGTCAGGTGGCGAGACCGTGACGTCACAGAAGCGCGGCGGGCGGGCGGCCACGCGTCGCCATGGCAACGGCGGGCGGGCCCGGGCGAAGGGCGGGAGTCCCGCCCCCCCGGAGTGTGGACGCGGCCCAGCTCCTTCCTCGCGCGCGCGCGCGCGCGCGCCTTACCCGACCCCGCCCCGCCCCGCCCCACCCCGCCCCGCGGGGCGCGCGCCTCCGGAAACCCCCCGCGGACTGCTGTCTGCCGGTCCCCGAGAGGCCGCAAAGCGCGGCGGCCGTCGTGCGGCGGCGCCCGCGGCCGCCAAGCCCCGCCCCGCGCTGAGGCGCCGCGCGCCGGGGCCCGACGGCGGCTGCGCAGTGCGCGCGGGCCCTCCCCCCACCCGGGGCGTAAGCGCGGGCAGCGGGCGACGCTGCGAGACCGGGGCGAGCCGGGCGCCCGCGCCGCGGGGACGGCCCGCGCCAACATGCGGAGGCCGGTGGCGGCGGTGGTGCGGGAGCGGGAGCGGGGGCCCGAGCGGGCGCTGGAACCGGAGCCGCAGCGCGAGCGGGGCCCGGAGCGGGGGTCCGCGCCGCGCTGCTGAGGGAGCCCGGGCCGCTGCCCGGCCGGCCGGGGGCCACGGCCACGGCGGAGTCCCCGAGGTAAGGACGCGCGCCCTCGCCGCTGCCACGGCCAAGCGCCCGACCGCGGACCCCCGCCCGCCGGCCCCGCACCTGGGGTCCCCCCCGCCCACTGACCCCGCATTCTAGCCCCGCCGCCCCGCTCCTCGCGCACTCACCCGACGGCCCCTTCCCCCGACTCGGGCCCTGCGGCCTCGCGCTCCCGCCGACGCCTCCGCGGCGGCGCTCCGGGCCTCCCCGACGCCTGGCTCCCGGCCGCGCTGCCCCCCGCCCCCGTGCAGGCTCGGCGGTCGTCCGGGGACCCGGCTTGAGACCCCGCCGTCCACTGAGCCGCGCTCCACTTCGCCCCTCGCGGCCCCGGGTGCTCGGGCCCCTTACCCCCTGCCCGTGTCCCCGCACGTCCCCCCTTCGACCCTGGACCCCTGCCTCGGCCCAGCCATGCCTGGCTTTGTGGGCTGGAAGGCCCCGAGGGGACAGCGGGGCTGGCGGGGACGGGGCATGCGGCATGGGGTCTTCTCCGCGGTGACCTGTTGCGGGGCCCTGCTTAGGAGCGGCCGCCTCGGTGTGGCTGTGCCCTCCCCTTTCCGCCCGCGCCCCCGGTTTTGTTTTCCGGAAACACTTTGGATCAGGGAGGGGGTGCGCTGTCTGTGCGCCGGGGACGGAGGCCGCGCGGATCTCCTCCCTGCCCCCGCCTGCCCCAACTTTCTCAGGGATGCTTTGGGCGGGGGTGTTGCTGGGGCTGTCGTCCTGGGGAGGTCTGGGGGCTCTTGGTCTCTGGGCGGTAGTGTTTGTGGGCCGTGCCTCGGAGGGCTCCAGCATGCCTTCCCGGGCCCTCTGGCCAGTTCTCAGACTCGGGGGCGTCTGCAGGGCGGCCCTCCGCTGTGTGGGGCCTCCATCCTCGCCTGCAGGACATGGCCCGGCTCCGCTGGTGTCTCCAGCCCCACAGGCTGCTGCGGCTGGTGGGTGTGAGAGATGAGTGGGAGCACAAAGGCTCCAGTGTAGGGGGTACGGTCCGCGGGGCCTTGATCTGGTCCCTGGAGGAGGTGGGCCCTTGACAAGACAGACTGGGAGCCAGGCCCGCAGGTTCGGAAGGGGGAAGTTTGCGGTTTCACTGGTAGTTCGTTTTTTCTTTGCTTGTGTCTCCACCAAATTGTGCCTCAAGAAAGGGACCCCTGCAGGCACATGGGCAGGCTGGTGGGTGGGGATGGGCTGTGGTACCCCCAGGTGTTCTCTTCACCCTCTGGGGGGGTCTGTGGCCTTGCCTCAGAAACAGAAACGGGGAGTGCTTGAGTGCTGGGGGCGCAGCGGTCCTGGGCCTGCTGGGCCAGTGGAGGTGGGACCTGTGTGGTGCGGGTGGGGAGGGAGGTGTGAAAGGAGTGGACTGGACATACCTGGCCCACCCTGGGGGTGGACAACCCCAGGGGCTCTGCGGGGGCCGTGGGGCACAGGTCTTTCTGTCTGAAGCCGGCGCTTGGACCTTCTTGTGTAAAGGGGCTTCGCGTCTGATGTGGACGACTTCTCATTTCTCGATGGACTGGGGATGAGTGGCTCGTTACGTGGCTCTGGGTGTGTCCCCGCTCTGTGATGACAGACCCCGTGAAGACAGGCTTCTTTGAACTGCTGGCTCTGGTTCCAGCTGATTTTTCTCCTCCTTTTAATTACATAGTAATTATCTCTGGGTTGCGAGAGGAAGTAGGTGAGTTTTTTCCCCCCCTAAGTTGAAAGCCTCCCTATCTGTTCATCCCAGCTCGGGGGAAGCCAGCATGCCGCCAGTAGGCATTCCAGACACCCACGGGGTCACTGGTGTCCATTGGGATTTACTGGGATAGGCCTGGGGGGCCCCCCTGGCCTGTCGTGGCCTTTCCCCTGGGATGCCCAGTAACCGCTTGTCCCATAGTTGACTTTGTTGAGTTCCCCCTTTCTCCCAGCCCTCATGGAGCTGCCCCAGGCCACCTCACGAGCAGCAGGGTCCCTCGTCCTGGTTGTGGTGGGGCGGATCTCTGTCTTGGCAGGTTCTTTCCAGGTGGGCCTTGTCTCCTCCTAGGAGGAGGTGAAGTCCATCAAGGCCCTAGGTCCAGTGGTGGGCAGAGGGCTCGGGGGAGCAGGAGAGGTGGGGCTGTGGGGCACTGGGGGCTGGGGGCCACCAGCCTTCAGGCCTCTGGCGACATCGGGCAGGTCAGCATGGTCGGCTCTGATGGGGAGGCAGGCGCCTGTGCACGAGCGGGGGCATGGTGGTGGGGTGGCGGCCCGCATCACTACCCTGCTGGCTTGCGCTGGGCCGCAGGGCGCACTGGGGAGAGCTTTGGCGACTGCTGGGGAATGTTCCCACGGGTCGAGTCTTTCCACGTGGTGCATTCAGTGGGCTCTTAGGGAAAGGGAGAACCAAGCCAAGGTCTGGTGGGTCTGGAAGGCCCCTACCCTGCGTGGCTTTGAGTCTGCCCCCTTCCCTTTTGGGGGGCCATGCTGGGCAGCCTCCTGAGTCCCTGTTGTGCAGTGGAGGAAGCAGAGTCCCAAGTGACCTGCTGTGTATGGAGGCCTGGGCCTTGATGAGGCCAGCACGCACACCTGTGCCCCTTGGTGCCCACGGTGCCGGGCAGGACTGGCCCAGGCAGGAGTGGGTGTGCTGGGAGTTCCTGGGGCTCCTGCTGGCTGGGAGCAATTATTTGTCCTCACCATCCCGTGGGTGCTGACCTGCCTTGGTGTCTCCCTCTCGTCCCGTCTTCCACACAGGGCCCTTGTGGTGTGGGGGTCCACTCACAGGGTCGGAGGCACTCTCGCAGTGGGGTAAGTCCTTGTGCCGAAACCCCCAGTCTTCCTGCTCACAGGAGCAGGCTGTGGTTCTGGGCCCTGCTGTTGCACCGGATCTCTCCAGGCCCCGTCTGGGGTCCCCTCCCTTGGAAGGCCTCCCTCATGGTCTGCTCACCCTTAGGGCAGCTGGAAGCCCATTTCTGGGAGCCTCCCCCCTTGTGATGGGTCCTTTCTCTTCCGGGAGCTCGGTGGCGTCCACGGTTAAGTGTTGTTACAGAAGTTTTGTTCCTTAAGCTGCTCTTGGCATGTGTCGGATTAATGAGGCACCAGACCCGGGATGCAAAGTCGACCTCGGGTTCTGTCTGCTGAGGCTCCCGTCAGCACCCCCCCCCGCCCCCCGAAGCTCAAGTCCGGTGCAGCTCTCTTGGCAGGTGGGCAAGGTGCCTGCGTTTCTCACGCTGCTCAGACCTCCTGCCAGGCCCCGGGTAGCTCCTGGGTGGTCCTGGGACGATGCAAGGTGGCCCTGGGCCAGGCAGTCCCTGTTTAAGAGGCGGAAAGGGACATACTGCGTTGTTACTGGTTTCACATTGGTGTGTGATATTTTAGAGTCTTAGGCAAATTGTGTGTAAAGGGAGACATCAGCTCTCCGGTAGTCTCCGCTCTCTGAGTGAGGGATACCTCACCTGCTTTTGGGTCTGAGACTGAGCCCCTGTCTCGGAGAGCGGGTACCTGTCTCCCCTGCAGATATGGGCTTGAGGGCAGCGTCTCCCCCGTGGCTGTGCCTGTCCTCGTAGTCTCTGCTTGCTGTGGTCCCAGGATCCGGCCAGTGGGCACGGAGTGAGCAGGGCGGCTGCCTCAAGGAGTGAGCCTTGGCCCACCAGGCAGGGAGTGGGCCCAGCAGAGCCCTTCTGCAGACCTGTGGGCTTGGAGGCTCCGGACAGCACCCCTTGGTGGGGCGGTGCCTCTCGAGGCTTCCCAGCAGAGGGTCTGGGACACTGCAGTCTCCCCGGCTTCACTTGTGTGTCTCAGGGATTAGAAATCCCAGACAGAGACTTCCAGGAAGGCTGGGGGCTTCGGGGAGAGGTGGGTGTGGTTCATTGGGACACAGGACACCGGAGGGCGCTCTCACTGCTTCTAGAAACGGTGTTGGGAGTAATTCCGGGGCTGTGACCGGAGATCGATGTCTTTACAGAACCTTTACCACGCCGTGCAGGAGGCTGTGTGTCCCACGAATCATCTCCAGTCCACCCCCGAGCAGCTCCGCATGCGAGAGTGGGGCCAGGAGGGCTGATCGGCCGGACAGTGGGCCCCAGGGCCCTGAGTGCACCTCCCTGCCCCAGCAGTGCCTTCCCTCCTGCCTCTCTGATCTGACACCCGCGGGGAGGCTGGCGGGAGCTCGCAGCATGGCCACTCACTGCCGGCCCCTGCTTGGGGGCTGCCTTCTTTTTGCTTAGGCTGCACTGATGGGCCTGTTGGAAATCTGTGCTTGGTGCCAGGAGCCCTCCAGTCATGACGGAGCAGACGTCCCCAGGGGTCGCCCACGGTTCCTGGGGGCAGGATGTCCCCGGTGAGAGCCCCGCCCTGGAGATTTGCTGCCAGCCGCTGCTGGGAGCCGAGCTGAGAGCGGCCTCCCCGAGCATGAGGCTGTGTGGCCGTGGGCCCCGGGGCCTGTGCAGCCCTCCACTGTGTCCTGGAGCTGGATGTCTGAGGACGCAAGCTGGGAGAGGGCTCTGCGGCTGGTCCCCCAGGAGCCATCGGGGGCGGCCTGGAGCTTCTGGCTGGGCTGCATTGTGTCTCCATGGGGACCACGTCCAGAGCTGCGCCTAGAGCCGGGAGTCCGGCTTCCGCTAGTCCGGCTTCAGCCACCAGCGGAGCTCCTCGGAGACGGCTGGGGAGAGCAGAGGGCCGCGGCACAGGGGCCCAGCCCCGCCGCTCCCAGTGCGCCTTGTGGCCCTTGCCCAGGCTCTCCAGGGCCCGCTCACCCCCTGGGCCTCGGCTTTGCCATTGAGGTGGTCTCAGTGGTCCTTGGCTTTTGGGGGGTGACAAGGGTTTCTGAGGCTCAGGTGCTCCAGATCCCGGGTGGAGATGGGACTCGGGCTTGGCAAAAAAGCAACAGGTAGAATTCATTTTATTTGGTTAAACAGAGATCACAAGTGGGCGGGGGGAGCAGGCTCCCCGCTGAGCAGAGAGCCCGGTGCAGGACTCAACCCCAGGACCCTGAGACCCTGACCTGAGCCGGAGGCAGAGGCCCAACCCACTGAGCCTCCGTCGCC